AGTACTATTTGAAAATTGCTTCTTTATATGGCTTAGCTTCTTTTCACAAATAAAAAAAAATTCAGAGGAATAAATAAATCAATTTTAACAGAAGGGTAATCACAAATATCTACAAAAGAAGACCCAAATGGAGACTTTTTAAAAGTTTAGTTCTCTACTATCTGTATGATATTTCTAAATCTCATTTTACTCCTCAGAATACTTAAGGAGACAAAGTTTGGAAAGAACCAAATGCCACCCCAAAGAATTGGCAGTACTCCAGTGGAATATAGATCCTGACAAAAGCATAGCAAAGGTTTTTTTATATAACATCTATCAAAGTATAAGCAAAACTAAAAATGTCAGTCAGCCAGTTTCCTGATTGCTGACCTAACTCCTTTTGAGAAACCAGTCAGTACCTTCTGCACATATCTATTTTCTCCTCAGCAGTAAGGCAGAGAATTCTGAGGTCCCTACGAGATTTCTTTGACCAAACACCAATCAAGACACTCTGCTCTCTCTTGTCAACTAGGCCCTGACAGGGTTTCCATGTCCCTCCCTAAATTGTCTGATTTCACCAAGAATCCTGCTACGTTTATTTAACCAGAATTCTCCATGCTCAATATCTGATCACCTTTAATAGGTAATTATGTTCCTCATCCTCTCAGGTTTCTCATCCTCCACTATGTTCACGGGATGTCTGATCAATTGCCTATCAGGTCGCTTTAGCCAGAATTCCACCTCTTAGAAATTTTCTACACACCCGCTTTTTCTTTGGTTTTGAATTCCTACTTTTCCTTGTTTATTCAGAGCTGAGCCCAATCTCTCTTTCCCACTGCAAAACTTCATTGCAGTGATTCCTATACCTATGATAATGCTTTACCATTCTATAACAAGTGTCATGAATAATCTGTCAACACTGCCATATTCTAATGGAAGCCAGCACTATGAAAAACCCCAAAGCACTTCTCTTCTTATGAAGATGAACATCCTTGAACAAAAATGAATCAATAAACAATTCTATGGTGCTATACAATAAATTCTACAATATCCTAAAGTATATTCCAGAGGAAGGTTCCAAGGACTCTAATAGGCATTATGTGAAAAAAAAAAAAAAATCCCAAGGTCAGATGTTTAAGAGACTCAAAAGAAGAAATAGAAAGACTTCCCCACATTGAATAACAGTCTTTTCACATGCTAATGTGTAACTGTGAACCACCAAAAGTGTATGTGCTGTGCATTTTCCTAATTTTCCTTCAAGCCCAGAGTCCTTTTTCCACAGAGAATCTTGAGGTCACCACTGTTGTTCAGAAAGTACTCATGTGCTTCTCTCTATGCTCTCTATCCACTCACCAGGGAAATCTGAATTTTAAGGAAAGGATAAAAGCCCTGAACCAAAGGAGTGAAATGCTGGAGACTGAATTTTACCTGGTAGACGAACAATAAGGGAGAGATTTTTAGGAGTTACTTAGACTTCACGGGGCTTCTGGTGACATATTCACTATCAAGAATCAGGGACAACTCTGGCACATACAGAGAAAAATCTTATTTCTTAATGTAAGTTTTCACAAGTAAAAGCTGCTTTTCAGTGTTTCCTGTTATCTACAAATTATACTTTTCCAAATCATAAGGATCCACCTTTAATTTATTTTCTCTTTGGACTCAGACTTAATCTTCCAGGAACAAAAGAGAAAAGCTGTTAAACTATCATATGCAAATATACTCTTTATAAAAGAGACCAACTATTCTGCTATAACAGCCACATGGTAAAATTCAAAATTTGCAGTGTTCTTCGCAGCCAAAGTATATGCAAATGAGTATTTCTTTGAGGTCAGCCAATCCATTTCCTTCTCCAAAAAATGTCCTATGGAATAGGTCACTTTATTTTAAATGCTCAATATAATACCTTCTCATACATTATATTGAATAAATGTGCTACATTGAATATTTATTTCCTAGGAGTGGGTTTTTTTCTTAGAGTCCACAAAATAGAAGTATTGTAAAAGCTGTTTTAAAAACTGTTTTTGTTAAAAATAAGATATATTCAATGCGTCAGTACTTATTTCAGGAATGGAAATAGCCTCTCAACTAGTATGTGTTCTGTTTTCTCTCATCATTTTTTTTTTTGGTAGCTGTTTATTATTAATCTGTTGGCCTCTGTGGTTTTTTGTTACTGAAGAGGAGAGCAAAGAGCACTGTCAATCTCAAAACTCTCTTCAACTGACAATTTAGAAGGGGGTTTAATTATTCTGGCACAAAAAGCTAGGAAAGCAAAATAAATACATTTAATACAGACAGATTTTCAGCTACTCTAATTGCTTATGCACTATAAGGGCTTTCAGATAATAAGTCCTTAAATAATAAATTGATATGGGGAAGAATAATGATACCCAGGTGTGAAACCTTACTCTGAGAGCTGGGCCGCATACTCAATGGCATAATTGCCTCTATTACCACATTCAGGCCTAACAAGGTTTTGAGTCATGGAAACTGGATAGAAATGAAAGAAAAACCATGTTCAAATCAGAGGATCATACAATAGAGGCCAGGTATCTAAATAGCTACTTGAAATGTAAAAGCAAACTTCAATTTATGAGACATTCCATTTAGGCACATGCCATACTCAGTCTAAGCCACAAAAGCATGAGTTACAAAAATTCTCCATTTAGATACTACACGGAGGATCTCTATGAGACCTCAGGGAAAAGTAAGGGTCATCAAAGAAGGAGACACTCTTCTCTGAAGGGAGACGAGAACATCCACTTTGTTGACGTCCATGTCCAAATACCAACAGAGTCTGTGGTCACAAAAGGCTTCCATAGCCTTGGCAGCCCATGACAAGAGCCTCAGATGATCACTGATGTCATAAATAAGAGTGTTAATTGTTAAAGGAACAACAGTAGTCACTGTGCACTTGCTTCCCAGGTAGGACCTCTGTCCCTATTGAATTGTAATATGAGAATCAACTGCAAATTCTCTCCCCAAAATGTACTCTATATGTTGTGTGTGGGTGTGGGAACAAATTGTTGAAGTCTATGATTAGTATAGAGTTGGTCCTCTGTATATAAAATCATACTAAAAATGATCCATATTGAAGAAGGAGATGGGAGAGGGAATGGGAAGTGGGATGGGAATGGGGGTGGGAGGTATGGAGGAAAGAACCACTGTATTCCTAAAGTTGTATCTTTGTAAAAATGCATTCATTAAATAAAAAATAAAAAAAAGAAGATGCCTTCAATTGGTAAGCCACATTCATGACCCAAGTTGTGTTCATTTGAAAAGATCTGCCATTCAGAGAATACCTGTCTCTGTCCCCAAATAAAATATGTTCCCAATTCCATCGCTTCGGCCATCCATGCCCCAGCAATATTCCTTCTGCTTATTAAAGGCATAGATCCTGAGCAGATGCTGTCTCCTCTGGGCATTGTTCCCCACTCCCACGCAAGGAAGAGTGAGCATCTTTGTGAAAAGACATAGAAGGTTCATGAAGTCAATTACAATGGGATATAAGTGCGTGCTCACCATTTGTTATGAATAAAAATGTAAATGTGCATAAAAAATTCTCCATTTAGGACTCCAGTACTCTAAGTGCAAAATCTTCACATAAGGAACTTATTTTATTTCCAAATAATACTAATACTTCAAGCTACTCCATCCTAGGTCCTGTTGTTCAAAAATCCCCTCCTCTGTATCACCCAACGGCTTCTGTTAAGAGTTAGTCTCAGGCTTCTTAATGCCTTCCTTTATAATTATCTTCTATTTTGTATATTCATAAGTTTGTTCAATGATTAATTTATGATCTGTGGTCAATAATATTTCTGAAGTCTACATTTCTCAACTCCAAAAGAGAACCTTATTTGACAAAAGAAGATGAAGATGGAGACAAAGACAAAGACAAAGATGAAGAAGAAGATTCAGTCTACTGCCAACATCTTTTGGATGTATTCTCTTGATTTTATCTTTTTGTTATCAGGAGTAAAGAACAGGATATCTCACAAGTGCACAATTTTAAAATCCAAAGAACTGTGAAAACTGAAAGTATTTTCATAATTATTTGGTAGCAAAATCTGACTATTCCTACATCCAGAAATGCTAAATTTATTTGGTTTTGTAATATTGCCAATCCTCCTGTGGATGTCACAAAATATATGTTATATGTTGACAAAGACTCTCCTTGAAAAAACTTTAGTAAGGCTCCTCTGAACCCTCCTCTCAACAAAACCTTGATCTTTGGACTTCTTTGATTCTTTCAACATCACTCAGTTTTATCAGCAATCTTGCCAATATCTGATCAAATTCTTCATCTCAGGGAAGACATCAGCCTAGTAGCTAAGATCCCTGCATCCCATATCAGATTACTTGGGTTCAATACCCAGTTCTGATTCCTGACTCCAGTTTCCTGCCAACACAATATTTTTTCAATATAACCAACATCAGCATGGAGTAAACAAATGCACAGATACAATCAGAGCCTTCTATCATTGTTGGCCAAGCCAAAGTCATTACACATTCTCAGAGCCACAAAATTTAACAAGTTACAGACTATAGCTATCTTAACTTCCCATATCATACTCTCTTCAGCACTCCAGCATGCAACTGTGGCTGAGAATTAGTTACATGAAGCATGTGACATAGAAGTATATACAAGTATATGACAAGAGCTCCCCTTCCAGCCTCAGTTCCAAAAAGATAGACGAAGAGCCTATCTTACACAGATTTATGTCAACCTGACTGGCAAAATATGGGCTACTATTCTACACCAGAGTGGCCTTGTGGCTATATTATTCACAGAAGTGTATACCAAGCATATTGCAACCAATATGTATTCTTGCAAAAAAAGTTTCCAAAAAGAGTTGTATACCTTTTTGTATACTTTCCCAGATGATATGATACTTTGTAGAACTATCCATTTGTCTAATTATTCAGTAAATTCTTCCAAGGTAACCATTTTAGGACCAGATGCCATTATATCTGTCTGTTTAAAATGAGGTTTTTGCCTATAAGAATTTTAAAATCTAGTTAAATTTGTTATAAATACTGTATAGGCTTCCCAATATACTTTTGGTTCTATACATCAGAAGTAAAATTTTGAAGATACTTTGAAGAAAATGCCTGCACCATGATAAAACATTCCTATTTGGAAAATTCAAGCAAGTGTTTTCATATTCTACATTACCCCTTCATTTATTCTTGGATTTAATTCATTTATCTAGCAGGTTCCTTCATAGAATGAAAGTCCTGCATAAGACAAGGGACAGCAGATTGTGAACAGCCCTATCCTACTGTTAGGCAACGGCAGGAAAACCAGCAAGAGATTGACCTCCTCCACCCTTCCCAGTTTGTGTGACCAACTCTACCATTCATCCAACTACACATACCAGACCACACTGGTCTTCCAGAATGTCTTCCTCCTTCTATCTCAACCCACAAATCCTATGAGGGTTTTTCCTCCTAATTTCTGCTCAAAAACATTATTCAATGTTCTCTTTCTCCAACTTTCAGTCTAAGCTATTGACCTTGGAATTAGAGTTTCATAACAGAACTCTATCAACTCACTTTTCCATCAATGCAGGAAAACTGCCTTTAACAACAATTACAAAAATAATACATGACCAAGATAAGAACTTTGAAATTCCAGAAGTATAGGTAAAACCACAAGGTCAAACATGAAAGTGCTCTTCCCCATTCCTCCAACCTCAAATCATACATACCAGAAGTAATTGTTTACCATTTCTTACCAATCTTTCCAGAAAACATCAGTGTGGATCCAAGCAAGTTAATGTTGGTTGGAGACTCAAGTGACCTAGGAAAATAAGGGGTTCATATTTAAGAAAAACAATTAAGAAACAATTTTAATCTCATTTGCATCTCTAGACAAATATGGGAGACTAATGATTTGTAAACAACCATGCAACATTATTTTAAATCTCCCTGCTTTTCTGCTGCCATTGTCTTAATCTCCACTGGTGTCCAGAGATCTGCCACTTGAGACTCTTACTCTGAGTTCTCTTGCCTCACTTACTCTCCAAAACTGTATACAACACACTCAGCAGATCTCTGTGACCTCTAGAACAGGTCATGTGTACCACTATACAACCTCAAGGCACAGTGAACTCCTCTTTATGGTGCCTCCCACCACTGTCATCAAATAATTAATCCAGTGAATAGCCAGCTGGTTACTGTCTGACTGCTGTATGATTTCACAAAGGCAGGAACCATCTTGCCCTTACTGACCTCTGCCTTACCAGTGCTGAGCACAGCACCAAGGGAGGAAGTCTCAAAATGTGTTAAAGGAGTAAATGAATAAACAGTCAAGATAATGCTTGACCTATAACAATTAAACCTACCCAAGTTACAGCTTTGTTTCTGTAAGTTTTCAAATGCTGATTTACACGTGCACTTTTTAAAAGTTGTTCGCAAGCTGCTTGTGGTTCATCTTAACACACAAAAATCTATGCCAGTTAAGCAAAATAGGCTTTTTTTTTTAAAGTTCTTACTATTTTTACAAAGAAACCAAGACTAAAACAAAATCAAGTGACCTGTATAATGACAGTACTCTTTGGTGGGAGAGCCTGGATTAAAAGGTGCACTCTTGTGGCAGAGAAATTAGGAGAAATAAATCAGTAAAGGGACAGAGAAAGAAGCAATCTTATCAATTTAGCAGAGAACATGCATCTTTCCAGAGCCAATTCCACTACAGTGTAAGTCATAATGAACATTTATATAGATTAATTAAGGCAGTTAAACAAATGAGGCCCACTCCTTCCAGATATGATTTGGGAAATATAAGTACAGGAACATATATAATCATGTTCAATTATACCCATGTTGCTAAACAAATATAAATGCACCTGCTGTTTCCCTTACCTATAGCTGCATATCAAAAATTCTAAAGTTGGTGGCTTACTAGTACAACCCTGTAATTATTGACAATTCTGTGGGATGGGTGGGACTCCACTGGGAGATCCACTTGAATTTTGCTTGAGGTCCTTCCTACAGTGCCAGTCAGATGGCAGCTACATTTTAAACATACAAAGTGGTTTCAATAACATGTATAGTGCCTTGGCTGAACAGATTTACATGGAAGTTGGGTCCCCAGAGCAGATGCTCCAAAAGGAAAAATTACAATATAAAATTGTTTATCAAGCCTCTGCTGGCATGATTCTTGTAATGACAGATTAGTCAAGCTGAAGGTCTATGTGAAAGAGAATTAGCAAGATTTTGACTAAGAGACATGATTCCTTGAGGGCTGGCAAACAAGATGGTATTTTTAGCAAAGAAAGGAATAGAGCAATTGTGCCAAAGTTTACTCAAAAATAATATACAAATTTACAGATTCACTTGACTTTTGGGTGATGCCAAGCCTCTCCTGATTTCCCCTCTCCTCAGTGATCATACTTTGGTCCCTTTGCTACCTCCTACTCAACTATTTAACTTCAAACTACTGTATCCAACTGCATAGTTTTTAAACAATTTTTACGTTTTAATGAATCTATTTCAAAAGCAGAGAGATGGAAAAAGACACAAGAAAAGAGAGATCTCATCTGCTGTTTTAATTTCTAAATGTCTACAACATCCAGGGCAGGTCTAACATAGGAGCTGGGAACTCAATCTAGGTCTCCCATGTGGAGGCATTTGTCCCTCTATTTGAGGTTGAAATAATCATCTCAAATTCAATCCACATTCAAAATATTTAAAATGCCATTGATTTCCCTTGTTGAAATGTGTCACAAATGTAGAACTCTTCCTTTATGACTTGGCCAAATCCCTATTATCTATCTGCTACATTATTGTAATGCCTTCCTCACTAGTCCATTGTTATCATACTATTCCCCTCCACACAAATCTTCTCATGGGAGCTTGAGGGATACCCTAAAAATTAAACATGATTATGCCATTGCTATGCAAAAACTCCAGAATGTGAACTCATTGAAGATGGTAGATCACTATTTCCTTTTTTGTTGCTATAATAACACTTGGAAGAGTGTCTTCTTGATAAATGCTTTTTTAATAATGGAATTACAGTAAAGTCCAATAAAGATAATTATCTTCAGGGGCCGGCACTGTGGTGCAGCAGTTTAACACCCTGTCCTGAAGAGCCTACATCCCATATGGGTGCCAGTTCTAGTCCCGGCTGCTCCTCTTCCGATCCAGTTCTCTGCTATGGCCTAGGAAAACAGTAGAAGATGGCCCAAGTCCTTGGGCCCCTGCACCCACATGGGAGACCTGGAAGAAGCTCCTGGCTCCTGCCTTCAGATCAGCACAGCTCCAGCCATTGTGGGCAACTGGGGAGTGAACCATCGGATGGAAGATCTCTCTCTCTCTCTCTGCCTCTCCTCTCTCTGTGTAACTCTGACTTTCAAATAAATAAATAAATCTTAAAAAAAAGATAGTTATCTTCAGGCCATTGGAAAATATAGACCCTCAAGAGCTTACGGCAGGAGTTAGAATGCTTAGATTATTTGAGCAAAAATGTGTTTTTTTTTCAAAGATTTATTTATTGATTTGAAATTAAGAATTAGAGAGGAAGAGATAGAGACAGAAATACTGTCCAACAACTGCCAGGACTGGGCCAGGGTGAAGTCAGGAGCCAAGAGACAGGAGCTTCATCTGGGTCTCTCACATGGGTGCAGGAGTCCAAAAACTAGGGCCATCTTCTGCTGTTTTTCCAGGTTCATTAGCAGAGACCTGGATTGGAAGCAGAGCAACTGGGACTCAAACTGGTACCCATATGGGACGCCAGCACTGCAGATGCACCTTAACCTGCTACACCAAAGTGCAGGCCCCAGTGTTTTTTAATTTACTAAGAATTTAAGAAATACCAAAAGAAATGTAAGATATAGAAAGAAAAATGGACTGAGATTTAGGAATCTTGGATGAACATCCTGACTGGGGACATGTTTTATTATCTTCAAATAATAAGGAGATCCTCAGGAAAATCTCCTTTTATATAAAACCTGAGACCTCAATATTCCACAAAATGACTTTCATTTTTAAAGAAGTCACATGAAATTAATAGATAATAGCTATTGTTTTTAAGCAAAAGATGCCAAGATCTATATGTCTCTTTCAAGAGAAATACCACATGTAATGGTTACAAATCCCACCATCAAATGATACCTCAGTTCCTTACAAATCTTACTTGCTTACTTTACCAGATTCTATAAAACATTATGAAGAAAATTTCTATCAATTTTCCAAGTGAAGTAATGGAAAGAAGGAGTAAGGAAAGAGAAGGATGAGGAAGAATAAGAGAAAGAGAAAAACAGGAGATATGTGTGGGGGTAGAGAGGAACAAGAGAAAAAGGAAGGTGATGACAACGACTGATGATGATAGGTGGAAATATTCCTTTATGACACCATTATGATGTCCCTGAAAGGATTTGCAAGAAAGCCATGGGCAGAATCTCTTACTAGCTGCCCCATCACCAAGTGACTACACTCCACACTAGCTCTGGGGTTCTGAGATTATTTGTTTACTTGAAGAATCCCACCTTCAGGTAGATGGCAGGAAAAATTACACTCAACTGTGCAACTGATGCATATATATATATATATATATATAGATATATATATTATGACCATCAAATAAACAAAGCATGTTCTTGTTGAGAGAAAAAAGAGAGACCCAAATTTGAAAAAATAAAGAAAGTTACTTTATAAAACTTACTTTTCCCATCTGTTACAAAGCAGGAGGATCAGAGGTACATACTCTATTATCCCTTCTAATTACAAATTATATTTTATAATGATATAAAATATCTTTCTCTTATTGCATATCTATTTAATTGGTAACATAGAGTATCTGTTCCTAAACAGTAATTTTTAGGATACTGGCTGTGTCAGACTCATAGAATGACAGATGTCCTAAACAGCACTCTGGCCTCAGAATCAGCCCTTAAGTCATTCGGATCTGGCTGAAGAGCCCATGAGAGTATTTTAGGCATGGAAAGCCAAGACACTCTGGAAAAAAAAAATACCTAAATGAAAGATTGCTGTGAGTGAGATCCCAGTGGAAAGAACGGGCCATCAAAGAAGGAGGTACCTTTCTCTGAAGGGAGGAGAGAACTTCCACTTTGACTATGACCTTGTCTAAATAAGATCAAAGTCGGTGAACTCAAAAGGCTTCCATAGCCTTAGCAACTCATGACTAGAGCCTAGGGAGATTACTGACGCCATAAGCAAGAGTGTCGATTTGTTAAGTCAACAACAGGAGTCACTGTGTACTTACTCCTCATGTGGGATCTCTGTCCTTAATGTGTTGTCCAATGTGAATTAATGCTATAACTAGTACTCAAACAGTATTTTACACTTTATGTTCTGTGTGGGTGCAAACTGATGAAATCTTTACTTAATATATACTAAATTGATCTTCTGTAAATAAAGATAATTGAAAATGAATCGATGTGAACGGAATGGGAGAGGGAGCGGGAGATGGGATGGCTGCAGGTGGGAGGGAAGTTATGGGGGGGAAAAGCCATTGTAATCCATAAACTGTACTTTGGAAATTTATATTTTCTAAATAAAAGTTAAAAAAAGAAAAAGATAAAAAAAGAATACTGGCTGTGTATATATAGCAGATTTTAATAGTTTTTCTTAATAAAAAGCATTCCATGGTAAAAAAAGTTTGGGAAACATGGGAATAATCATGGTTAAACATCTTCATCTCTGGCAGGGCTTTTCTTCTCTACTAATGTGCTAGTGTACTTTAAAAATCTCCAAAATGTAAACAATCCACAGGCATGTACTACTTCCAAATTTTATATTATCATTAAGCAGTTTATCTAAAAGTGATATCATATT